GGTTCACCGTCACTGGTTTAGCCCTACCACTAAACTAGGATACTTAAAAAATAAATAAATTTACAACTTGGTTTTCAGTTATCATCCTCACCAGTGCAAGCAGAAGGAGGCACAAGGAGTATGCTTCACTCTCACTCCAGGCCCCACTCTGTGTATCATCAGTGATGTCATCTGGAAATGCGTAAGAACTATCTGAGAGGACTGATACGGGTGATCACATAAGCTAAAAGGAGGACAAAATAATGTGACTGGAAACTCTTATAACAACAACAGCAACAGCAACAAAAACAGAAGTCCTGCTGGCTGAACAAAATATATCATATACCCATGGCAAACATTTGAATTTACTCAATATTACTACTAATGTTGTTTAGTCAATGGAACAAATTCTGAAAGGAACAGCAAAAAACATGGTAGAAAGAGCAAGGCGAACACCTGTCTAATCACTTCCTAGTATAGAAATATATTATCATATGTAAATTGTTTGTAGATTTTGTCTCAAAAGACCCCAGTAACAACCTTATCTAACTGCTCAGGTGCCATATTGTCTGTGCAGCTAGCAAAGCCTCCAACAGCATCTTGTGGAAGTAGGTATCAGCATAAATGTCCAGATCCCTTATGTGGGGTTTTGACAGTCATTGCATTCTTTCTCTCACTCTGCCTCCCACTTACCTTCAGCATTTTGTACTTCAGAACAACCCCTTCTCCCCATCCATGTTCCAAGAACAAAGTCCATGTTGACTCATTATCCTCTGTTTCACACAAGACAGCCCCTTTTTAAGGCCAAACATGTCTGGAGATGCTTGACTGTATGCCACCTTGTACCCCATAATGGAAGAAAGTCAAAACAGAAATGTACATCATAGAAAAACGTAACATGCAGTAGTTTGATTAAGAAGCTTCCATGCAATCAGCCAAATCTAGTCCAGTTAAAATCACTGTTCTTATTATTTTATTTTGGTATTTCTTGTTTTCCTGAGATTAGAAGCCATACTACACATCATAGATAAACTGTCATTTGAATTGAAATAACTTTTCTGTTCCAGAGACACTATTTAGGCAGACATTCATGTCTGAGAAGTCAGACTTGCAAACAAGGGCCATATTTAACTCCTGAAGGTCAGACCCAAAACAAAGCAGGTTAATCTGCAAACTTTGCAGGGTGAGAAAATTCCTGCTGTGACAGTTTCCTCCTTTCAAGCACTCCTAACAAGTTTTCTGTACAATATATTTTGGCCCAGAATATGGCACCTCTCTCAACCAATCTAGGCCCTTCTTATCTAGCCAACTGTCAGGATGCTTACAGA